TGGTCCGCTGCCGTTATGTTCCTCGGCCCCACCAACGCTGCTACCGTTCAACCTGTCGTTGCAATTGAACGGACAGTCTTCTACCGCGAAAGAGCAGCAGGAATGTACTCTGCTATTCCCTATGCATTTGCTCAGGTACCCTTCAACATACTTTCTTCATATCGTACAAACAGATACTGCCCTACTTCTTCGATATTTCTGATCGGAAACGTGACTTTAGATGCAGTTTATTGTCACCAGATTGTCGGAAGCACCTTATCCTATCCATTTCATTTATATCCACTTGAAACTTTATTAGACATTTTTTAAGGTTCTCATACCAAAATCGGATAAAACTACTGTTTAAGGATCTTACTGTAACGAAAACTTATTTTCATTTTTTTATTTTTCAAGTAGGAAACATCTTATTCCGGCCATTAACAATATTATTAGCCACTTGAAACTATAACTTTTCTCATTTCTCGAGAATAGAAATTACCATAGTTGCAATCAAATAATGGATCATGGCTCTTCAGGTGGCGGTGGAAATGATATACAACTTTGCCCAAACAGTCGTTTATTCGCTTATCCTTTACACGATGATCGGATATGACTGGACGGTGGGAAAGTTCTTCTGGTTCTTCTATTACATATTGGCATGCTTCATCTACTTCACGCTCTACGGGATGATGCTTGTCGCCATGACGCCAAACTATCACATAGCCGGAATCTCTATGTCGTTTTTCCTCAGTCTCTGGAATCTCTTCTCCGGTTTCCTCATCCCCAGACCGGTTAGTACTCTTTTCACCTCTTACTAGCAACAACACTACACTTCGCACGAACTGATAAGTATACTGCACAAGCTGACAAATACATAGGGCAAAACATTTGATCGGAGCTGCATTTCCTGCATAGACAAACTTGAACTAGAAACCTAGAAAGGAAACTTGTACAAAGGTAATATAGTAAATGTGCATATACGGAGTTTACCCTAGGCTTTCTCCGCACTAAGTTTTACAGTATACGTACGTATAAGTCTATATATTGCAATGTATAGACTCAGATTGTAGGAAAACCTAGGTTAAATCTCGTATATACATGATTACATTATTATACACACTAACTATTTTACCCTACCCAACTTGGGTAGCTCAACCGGTGAAACGGGGACGCAAAGCGTCTGTCTTGCCCCGAGTTCGGGCCTCAAGTTAGGGAGGGAGTGTATAATTCAAATCACATGGCTGGCTCTCGTCCCCGAGATTAGTCTGGACTTCAGTCCTGGATGCTCGGTTAAAAAAAGAAAAAAACTATTTTACCCTTATAGTCTGATCTGACAAACCTTACTGTTTTATGTTCTTGACGCAGCAACTACCCATATGGTGGAGATGGTACTACTGGGCATCTCCTGTGGCGTGGACATTGTACGGAATCCTTACGTCTCAAGTAGGGGACAAGGAATCATTAGTACAAATCCCTGGAATTGGTGATGTTAGTCTCAAGGTTTTGCTCAAAGACGGGTTCGGATTCGACCACGACTTCTTACCAGTTGTAGCCGTCGTCCATGTTGTCTGGATCGCAGTTTTCCTCCTCGTCTTTGCCTACAGTATCAAGTTCCTCAACTTCCAAAAACGGTAAAATATGAACAGAGCATCAGAAATTATGGAGACGCGATACCATGGGCGATATTGGACAACGTTGATGTATACGCATTTCTACATAACGTCTAGGTTCTTGTCTTGACATATTTCAGAGGAGGAAAGACAGAAAGTGCTGTTGTTTGTCATGCTTTTAGCTGTGTAAATTAGCTGAAAAAACGTTGTAGGAATTTTTTTTTTAAAAAAAATGTTTATTCTCAATAAGAGAGAGAGAGCAAATACACTGATTGTTTTCGTTAGTTTATGTGATTTATGTGAAAAAGCTCCTTGTCTGTAGCTTTGGTTTTTATTCATTGAATGTTATGTTGTACATATCATCAAACGGAGACCATTAAATATATTCTAATTTAAAATTGGCTTTCGTGCCTATGGATTTTGGATACTAGGCTAACCAACAAAAATTTAAATTTCAAATTCAAATTTTGTAAAAAAATAGAATAATTTCCGGATTTAGATTTGTTCGAACGGATGGGACTGGGAGTACCCTAAAATTTTTGTCCTGTCCTAACTTAAAAAGAAAAAAAAATACTTATCTAATCACAATACCTCATAAAATAGTTGATCAACCAATAAAATGATCATTTAAAATATTATATCTAAAAATTTTAGAATATACAAACCGAATGTAAAAATTTAAAATTTATATTTATAGATTTTATATTTATCAAATACCTAAATTTAAATTTTGTTAAAAAAAATTAATGTATAGAATTAGAATTCGTAACCATTAGTTCAACACCTCAGTAACATATGGATACGGGTTCGGATATTCGATATTTTCGAGTTACACCTAATCTCAATCTAAAATTTTGTGAAATAACACCCGAATTCAAATTTGATTTGGTCGGATACCCAATCATCAGTATCCAAAATAATATTCATGTATTTTTAACACTTGAACCCAACATCAAAGTAAAAAATTTATTAAAAAAAAAACGTATTATATAGCATACATTTAGCTTCTTATAAAACTGAGCATTAGATTCTTCTTTTTCAGCATTCAAACTTGAATAAAAAAAAAATCCAACAAATTTCTCATTTGGCTAAATGTCTTTCTACCAAACCAATCGGACTTCATAAGAACTCAAACCTTCCTTCGCCAAATTTGTTGCAAGACATGAAGCCAGAAACAGTTGTTCCTCTTCTGCAGTTTCTACAACATTTGCTTTCTTGGTTCTGCAATACCTCTCGATCGATACGTCCAAGCACTCCGTTTTCTTCCAACACTTCCAGTGAAGACTCCTTCCTTATTGCAATGCTTACAAGACTCTGTAAGGTTCGAATTTTCGCCAAGATCAGATGATGTTCCGGGTTTATTACCTTGTTCGATCTTCATCTTGGCCTTCATTACACTTTCTGTTGACTCATCATTTCTCATTGCTCGTCTTTGCTCATGTGCCCATAAAGCACTCACCACCTCTGCAAGTTTCAGGTCTGAAAGTTGCTTGGTGTTCTCAAAGAAGCGATAATTGTTTCAAAACATAATGGAATCAGGAGTTTATGAACCAATATTTCATCTTCAACTTCAGCTTCTAACAACCTCACACTGTTAACAATACTTGTTAACCTTTCAACATGATCCTTGATAGACACTGAACTCTTCACTTGTTGCCTCTCAAAGTCCCTCAATAGATTCAGAACTTTCATCCCTCTAATCTAATCTTCTCATCCCCTTCATATTCGGTCTTCAGAGAATCCCACGTATCCTTAATTTACAGAATCAAAACCAATCAAACGGGTAAATATAGAAGGTGACACACATGAGCAAATACATGACTTAGCCGTAGTCTTCTTTGTGATCTTCTCCTTGCGTGCCTTTATTTAGGAGATCGTAGGATTTGTTGGCACGTCTGGAACATCATAGTTGTGTTCAAGTGCTTCCCATAAATCTAAAAGAATTTGAACCCGAGGTTTCATTTTGATCCATCATCTTCGCCTTCGAGAATCTCCCGAGGTTCACTAAGAACTAATATGCTCTGACGCCACTGATGTTTCTTGCAAACCAAAATCCAGACACACACATACAACTTTGTTTCAGGCAAAAAACTTTCTGTGACAAAGTTCCCAAAACACTCTTAACACTGCAGTCTCACAAATTGATGTAATGAATGCTAACAACAAAACAAGGATCTACACATATTTCATAGCCTATTGAGACAATTGCACACGTGTTTAATGAGGTCGAATAGTTTGTAAACCCATAAAACAATCTATAAAAATGTCACAAACACTTGTATCTTTAAAGCCGAAAGCAACAAACGATTGGAGTTTCGTATTGTCTCTAGTGTTAACTCCAAAGTGTTTTTGTTTTTGTTTTACCTGAATTCGCAAATTTTGTAAAACTGATTAAATCTAATCTAGAAAATTATACCTAATCAGGTTTTAGTTCGAATACCACTTATATGATAATCAATCCAACTTGATTTGGTTTTACATACCGATTACCGAACCAAAATGCCAAATCAAGGGACAACAACGTGTAAAAGGAACGTATAAACGAAGAACGAAAGAAACAGCATAGATGATGATATTTGGAACAATGCCAAAACTCAATTCAATCAGAACCAATCTTAGTTGATGAAAGAAATTCTGCAGGGGGCAACACGGAAAGTTCCATTTCTTGCTCTTCATCTAAGAGATTCATTCAAAAGAGTCCGAGGCTCGAGTCTACGATCTCATTCTTCCGTCGGTCTCTGCCCCAACACGGAGATGTCTTCATACCGTTTCTGCAGCGTTACAAAAATTCCACCTTGTAATAATGAATATTTAAAGGATACGGGCATTCATCGTTGTAAGAAAATAATCCAAATCGAAAATAAAAGAACATGTCAAGAAATGCTGGCATACGTATAGAGCCAAACTAAGCTACAGCTAAGGAGAAAAGTACTGTGAATCCGTATACCGTTTCTGCAGGATTACAAGAATTCCACGCTGTAATAACGAATATTTAAAGGATACGGGCATTCATCATTGTCAGAAAACAATGTGAATCGAAAATGAAAGAACACGTCAAGACTCAAGAAAGAGTGCTATATGTATAGAGCCAAACTAAACTAAGCTAAGCTAAGGAGAAAGTACTATGAATCTGCAACAGATATTTTAATATACCCTACAATTCTTAACCCAAAGCAGATATCACATACCAAAACATGAAAACATATAAAGAGATTCAAGAACACAAAGCCTAAAGACAATTTTACAAAGCAATGCAGCAGAAATGAGAATACTGGAAATTTTACTTGTTTTTAACAAACAAGAGACTACATTTCTCTATTCAGAGTAAGGTCAGAATCAAAAGAAAGTAAGCAGAAAATCGATTGATTTGTTATGCAAAAGGGCAAGGAAAATTTCTCTCCTTTGCTCTACATCATCAGAAATCTCTAACAATTCTGTATTCAAATATTGCATGATAATGAGTTAAGATCCACAGACAGGAAAATCAAAACAAAAAACGTATCATACCCCAACGTTGTTCGATTCCCAGATTTTATGAACACCATATTCCACAGCCTGCACCCATAACAAACGGATCATTCATAAAAGTCTCCAATACGAAGCGTATTTTCACATGAAAGCACCATGATAGAGAATCATCCTAAGCATCTGCCTAATATCCAACTAAATGCCATCAGCATCAAAGTCATCTCTGTCTGAAAAGCCCAGAATGACCCAGCACTAGAAGCATTTTCCGATCAAGTTCTCACTTCCCGTTAAACTAATCACACACGGATTTGTACTGGAGAGCTACCCAAAGGAAATAGCTAATTCAATTCAACGACCAACAAATTCTCTTCACCATAAGTAACCTTTATACACAAATTCTCAATTTCCTCAAACCATACAGAAACCATATCCGAGAGCAGATAAGAAGGGTAAAAAAATCAACAACCGAAAACAAAATCAATGAATCTAACCCGTTCGCCGAAGAAAGCGCCGGCGATGATGAAGGTGACGTAGACGGAGTTGCGTCGCATGATGAACCTATAAAGGCCTTCGAATGGGCCTTTCTGGTTCCTCCGAGCTGCGTACTCCATGGGTGGTATCTGATCTCTGATCGGCGATTAGGGTTCGTTGCTATCTCGGTGTCGCGAGAGAGCAAAATGACGACTAACAGCCTGACTCTCTCTCTCTGGAGAGTCAAATGTCGTGCGGGCCTAATTGGTTGCCCCAGTATCCAATTCGAAACACCTCAGCGTTTTACATTTCTGAGAGAACACACCGTGTCGTCGAAACATATATAAAACGCTCAGTAATCTTTCACAGCATTAGTATTATTTGCCAAATAACCAATGGTTATCCTATTGCATGTGGCTTGGGTGACCTGTTTGAATAAATCTTCAGCATATAGTTTATATTAGGGATGGATATTAAAGATGTATTTGTTTATTTACAAGTTTTTAAAAAAAAAAAATGAACTTTCAATTAGGTGGAATACATCAGAAAATCCAAGGGTGACACTTTACCATTGAGTTATATCTTTTTTCCACCAAATAATATCGATTCGTATCTAAAATTTATTTCATTTAAAATCTGATTATATATCATTTTTAAAACCAAATAGTAAATACGAATAAAAAATAATCGAATACAAAAACAACTAGAAAACTAAGTGAATACAAAATATATTTTAGAAAAGGAACATTTTGGTTAGCGAAAATCAAACATCAACCATTTATTTAATTACCGAATACTAGAAATGTAGAAACAAGTTCAGTTTACTTTTCGAACGTCAAGTCGAAGATGTTTTGAGAAGTAAAGCAAAGCAAAGAATTCAAACGAACCAAAGTTCAGAAACTTTGTTCGGACCAAGAGCGCCTCGCAGTTCGTCCGAACCTTACACCGTCTGCTCACTGTTCGGTCCGAATGGTCTGTATGGACTCGATCGAATACAGTTCCGAATTCTCGGAGAACAAATTTCTCAAAGACATGGTTTGGTCCAAACATCCTAAAGAATTGTCCGGACGCTTGTTCGGGGACAAATAAATTTGCAATTTTCGATATTTGTATGAAGATTTCGACGTAAATCTAACTTTAGTCGTCTCTAATTAAATAGATGACGTCTCCTACTATTGTATGGCAATAAGAGAGAACTAGAGAATAAAGATTAAAGATAGAAGACGAAGATCGAAAGGATCGGTCTATCTATATTTTTCATCTATACATCTTTTGATTTTGTATCAATGACCATTAGCGAGTATTTCATTCGATCTTCTCTCGACCTACTACTGGTGCCTTTTGCACCTTTATTCGACTCTTCTTATAGATCCTATCATGTTTTGATATCTATAAATCTTCGTAAATCCTGTTTGATTCCTTTAATTTTCAAAATATTCATAGTCCATGTGTCATTATTTCAACCATTTTTACATAATACCAGTCACTTTTTGTGAAAAACATGCATCTACGAGCACTAATATATATATATATATATATATATATATATATATATAACATTTACAGTCTTAATATACACGTTTACACCTTAATATTATACATTATAATCCAACTTGGATAGTTCAAACAGTGAAATGGGGACGCAAAACATTTGTTTCGTCCCGACTTCAAATCTCAATTTAGGGAAAAAATGTAAATTCTAATCTCGTGACTTTCTTACGATCTCTAGATTATTCTGAATCTCGACCAATAACACCCGATTTACCAAAAAAAAAGTATTATACATTATACACGGTCAATTATATGTGTTTAGCATGGAAATCCCATAAAATAATAAACAATATTCTGAGTCAGACCACAATGGAGAAAGCCCAATGCTTTTGACTTTGTAAAAATAAGGTCAACTAGTTGTGGCCCAACATGGTCCATGGACTTCTTCCACTACGCTCCTCTTGTTCTCAAAATCAAAAGGTGTAATGATTCTTTCTTTCTTTTTTTGTATTTTTTTTCCTTGACTATGGAACTCTCTATTTGACAGGCTAATATTCCGAAAAATAAAAAGAAGTTGACTAACGAGTAAAAATTCTTACAATTTTTTTCCAAAATTATTATATAAAATAATTTGACTTTATAATATCAAATGTATGCGCTTCTAACAGATGATATATGGCTTTCGGAATCTAATCATTGCTATTTAGTTTGTTGTATTTGTATATAAGTATATGTATATGCAAGCATTTTAAATCCTACTAGTGATTTTAATCTTGGTAAAAAAAAACAGAGATTCTCATGAGCCTCGCTTTTATCGGATCAATTTTTTTATCCGTACAATTTAACCCTTTCATCCATCCCATATGATCTCTTTTTTAATTATAACCTTCGAACATCAGATTGGATCTTACCCAATTATATGGGATTATGACATGGCATCAATGTTTTTAAAAAAGTTACTTGGTGTTTTCCCCCTAAATTCTGTGAACCATCTTTCCGAAAAGGTATGTATCACAGTATTTACTACTAGGTTTTATAGTCAGATGTTAGCAGTAAACTTAATCATAGAAACTATGTGATTATTTCCCCCTGATCTAAATTCAGTTGTGAGCAAACAACTTATATGCTTGTCTAAGACTATCAAAATCATGCTTTCCTAGTTGTAGTTTTAATAAATAATCCGGAGTTCTTTTTCTTAGGGTTGAAATCAACCTTAGAGATTATTTTTGTTGATTTGGAAAAAGAAAGAACTTTTACTTTCCCTATCTTTTTATTCATCTAACACCATTCATTTTTTGTTGGCAGGGTGATGAAAGATATTTCGTTCTGAACAGCATTATCACAGAAATATTTTTGCAAGTAACTGAATGGATCCACCCTCCAGCTGATTTATGTGATAAATTTCTGGAATTTGTTGAAAATACACTTCTAGGCAAGGTCTGTTCAGATTCCTTTATATTTATCTAATCTCTACTTGCAGGATTTAATAATTTTTTCGGGAATATGCTCAATCTTCCTTGTATGTCTTTACGTTATCGTTGGTGAAATACTAATCAAATTGTGAATCTACAAATGGAGAATTTTACTTACCGGGACTATCAGCATCTAACTACATCTATTATTTTGCAGATAACCAAAAGCACTAGGTCTAATAGATCTATTCATGAAAAGAATTTACTTGCACTGTTGCCTTTTATTCCAAAACTTGTTTCGAGGGTGGACAATGATTGGAGAGATAGTCTTCTGCAGGTTTGTCCTAAATGCTCAGCATATTGTATTGAGGCTTTCCATTATTCCTAGATTGCTCAGCATATTGATTTAATATTTGATTGTGTGTATTATGTGGCCATTGTTTCAGGCATTTACTCAGGCCTATAAGGATTGCAAGCCAGAGTCTCCACTTAAACTGGCCTGCATTTCGAGGATTGAAGAAATGATTATCCCTGTAAGTTATGTACTTGATTTGGTCGCTGTAGATATAATATATCTGGTAGTTTCTATCTAAGTATAATCTCTTTGCATACACCAATGGCATTGTAAAGTCAGTTGTTGTTATGTTTGCAGAAGCAAGGCATCCAGTACCTCAGCGTAAATGATCCAGAAATATACAATTACCAATTTGATTGGATAAGTGAACTTCCGTCACTGCTACATCAGCTAGGTGATAAGCATCCGTCATCCTCCCAGGTGCTAGCTCGTTTTATACTTCGTTGTCAATATAGTAAATTACATTCTCTTGGATTATTAGAGGTGAAAATGCTTGGTACATGATCCTTAAATCAATTATGATTAGTTTCTTCCTTTCTCATCCGTCTTTTGTCCTTTTATTGATTCCAAATCTTTCTTCAGGCTGTCTTGCAACTTGTGCTTCGTCTTGGACAGCACGGCTTTCTGAATCCTTCCCGAACATTTGAAGATGATTTCAGAAACTTCTACAGCAAATCTGGGGAAGAAGGTGCAATTCAAGCAGCTAGAAATTTATGGTCGATATTGGCATTGAATTTGAAACCGCATATATATAAGCCTAGCATAATTATTAGAAACCGAATATTTATTGATAGTACTCACGTATAGTTTTAGTTTCATCAATCAAAATATTTCACATAATTTTTATTCACACGCCCTGTTTGTTTGTTTTTTTATCCGTCGTAATTTCCCGCGTGCAATCTTTTTTTCATAATCTCCTAAAATAAGGTCTTCTAAATTCTTCAATATCGGTGACGGATACTCGAGAAACAAAACAAAAAAAGAATCGAAAACAAAAATAATAGAACCCGGATATGGTTTTGTAGACGTGTAGAATATTTTTTTAATACGTTATTCCCTTCACACCAAACAAATGATATTACCGAAAATACTTTTTGAAATGCAAAAAATACTATTAACTCTTATTTGCTCTTTAAAAGATAATCCAAAATAGAAAGTTTGAAAAATGAGATGAATAAGAAAGTTTTGATGAAAAATTAGTAAGTTTTTCACCAAAAATGTTTACAAATCACTCAAAAATGATTTAGATCTGTTGTATTTCGTTTTAGAATATCTATGGATATTTATTAATACTTCAAATGTCCAAATGCGTGAAAAAAATAAAAGTTTTCTCTAAATGGTCGCGATTTTCGTTCATTTTCCAATTGTTTAGAAAAAATGAAGTATCCATTTATTTGTTTGAATTACAATCTAAATATGAAGTCCAAATATTATTGTTAAGAAAAAATGGACTACCCAATTGTTTATTCGATATACAACCCGATTATTATGAGTGTATAACTCAAACTCACTTTTCACATTTTAAACCGAACGTAACATTTTTTCGACAAATCATTAATATTTAACCAGTTCACAACACGTTTTTTACAAATATTTTACTCCTACACCATATTTATAATACATATAAATAATGAATTCTTTGAATTTTTTTTTTTATTTACTGTAAAATATACAACATACTATTGATCTCATATTTTTCTCCATTATATTATAAATTTATTTCTATCTTTTGCCCTTTAGATAAGATTAATATGTTCTTATATTCTTATCTTTATTATTTTATTCTTTTTTTCTAAGCAAAAACAATAATAAAAGATAAACTTTTAACACTATAAAAATTCGATATTAAAGATACACATGTCTATGTGCGACTGAAAATATGTATATATACACACGTATTTCTCAGCCTGTCGAGGTTGTTACTATTCAATGATTAGCCAAAAGTTATATATATACACTATTGGAAAGAGCCGCTTTTGAATTAATAGTAAAATAAACACATGATTTCAAGCTTCATGCTCCCCACAATGGTTTAGTTTATATTTTATATTTCTCCACTCATACCAAAAATAAAAATATAAAATAAAAGACAAAGATAATATTGGTAAACAGATTTAGGGTGGCGTTTCTCTACCGTTTTTTGGAACCGAACTGACAATATATCGTTTTCAAATTAAATCGTACGGTATTTTTTTTTAAAAATCGAATTTTTCGAAAATCGGAACGAACCGAATACTAAAAATCTCCCCAAAAAACTGAGTTTTTTTCTTCTAAAATCGAAATCGAATGGATCCAAATATAAAATAATAACCGATTGGTATATTACTATATCTTTTAAAACCGAACGATTTCTGGATCGAACCCGAACTAAATACCAAAATGGCCACTCCTAAGACATCCCCCATGCCTTTGATGGACGAGACGACCTCAAGAGCTGGCTAATTGTTCTTCTTCTCTCTATATATTATTTAAATTCATGAATATTTTAGTTTTTGTATAAATATTTTAATCATACAAAGATTTTTCTTTTATATTTCATCTTCATTATGTACATATGTATATACGTTTTCATACTATGACAGATTCGGTTTAAACCTATAAACCAATATTTTTGATGAATTTGATCGAATACATAAAAGGATTAAAAAAATAGTGAGGAATTATGCAAAAACATTGTAGACCATATAAAATTCAAATAGACTAACCTACCGCCATCAAGTAATTATAGGCGATGGTTATACCTTATAGTTAATTAATCGTTAGAATATAAAAATACATATTTAGTTATAAATTAAATTAGAACGGTCGAAAGCTTTAGAATTTGAATAATCGCATATAGTGACTCGGACAACAAAAATCATGACATACACGTACCAACGATTAGATGAATCCAATTCAAAAAACATATAAATATATCTTGTACGTCATAATACGACATAGTTCTTGCCACCTTACCTACCACCACACAAAAAAACCCTTAAATAAAAATATAGTATATAGTATTTTACGAGCCCGCATGCACATGGCTGCAGATACCTGTAATTATAAGGACACGAAAATAAGAAAAAAATGATATCTCAGTAAACCCGCCGATTCCGCATAATAGACGGCAAGCCACGATGAACAGATAAACCAACCGAAATTGACCGATTCAGAAAAAATTCAGACCTTTTGAGACCTAAAAAAGAATCGAACCCAAAATCTCGTATAAATGGCTTGTCATTTTTCAACTGAACCGGTGATTTTGTCCGATGTTATATATTTTTCAACCAAAGTATTTCGAATTTTTATTTATTCAAAGAACTTCATATATAACAAGGGCGGTAGAATATATTAAAATATTGACTTTTTACGAATTGAAAATATTAAGTGTTTCGTCAAAGCAATCAAATTTCATATTTTTCTTTTATCCGAATATTTGCATACGCACATTAATTGATTTTTACCGTTAATTTTCCGACGACTCTTACGAACTTATTTCACTTAACCCGCATCGAATTTCTCCTTTTATAACCTCCAATACATATATATATATATATATGTGTATATATATCGTTTATCTTGAAATCTAAATAAATAAATACTAACAATATCCAATTAAATAGATTAGATTTTAGCAAACGTTACCTGAAATCACAGCCTTTGCATTTCATTAATACTCAATTGCATCTTTTTTTTTCGGTTACACCTATTCAATCATTTTCTCATAATTATATAATATATACATATATATATATATTCATATAAGCATGGTTGTTTATCACCCACTTTATTTCTTATACTGTTCGTACGTATAGCAGATGATGTAAACCCTACAAGCATGGGTTTAAATTTAAATCGATAATTATAATAACGATATCGAATATAATCATTTTTAAGTTTCGTGATCATTTGTAATTTTCATTATCTTATCATGTAATATAACTTGCACGGCATCGCGATAAGAGAAGTGTACACACTTTTTATCATTATTATTTAAAAATAATAGATATGTAAAATTACCCGTAAAATCCTCCGCCATACCGTATCACATGCCTAACAATGTACCATACATATGTACAAATAGTCACTTAGCAATGTCGACACATTCAAAGTTTCAAAGTGCCAGAATTTGCGACCGACACATACACACACACATATATAAATATATTCACATACATGTATTATATATATATATATATATGTATATGTTAGACTTTTTTTATAAGCAATTTTATCCGTCAAGAAATGGTGCCCACGAATTCACAAGTCAACATATGAACAGACGAAAATAATAATAAAAAAAAAAGTTGTGGGAAAATTTAAAGTTGAAAATTGAAAACCCAATTAAAAAAAAGTCAAATCCTCACCAGCTTCTCTTTATATATTATTCATACACTACAAGACTGACCCACCATTTTCGTAACCATAATCATCGTTTTCCTCTTCTTCGTCTTCATCATCTCGAGATTAAGAAAAAAAAACTGAAGAGAAACAAAAATGTTGAGCAAGAAAATGGCTTCGTTCAAGAACTTGGCCAAGAGGGTCAAGAACATCAACACGACGACGAGGGACGGCGAAACCGAGTCGCACAACGAATCACTGCTCGGGAAACTCGAGGCTGATGACACGTGCCAGAGATCCTACGGCTCAAAATCACCAACGGGGACTTTCGCGGTGTACGTAGGCGAAGAACGAGAAAGATTCGTGGTTCCGACAAGCTATCTAACACACCCTTTGTTCAAGATTCTGCTCGACAAGTCACACGACGAGTTATGCTGTTTCGACCAGAAGGTTCGTTTGGTCGTACCGTGCAATGCTTCGATCTTCCAAGAAGTTGTGAATGCTGTCGAATGTTGCAATGGTAAATTCGATTTTGGGCACTTTGTTGAGGAGTTTATATGATTGGAAAAGGTGACCATTTCGAATATTAGATTCCAATCATGGTCCGATTTTCGAATCAAATGGTTAGGATTTGCGTTAGATTGTAATTTTGTAATGAGCACCCCCCCTTTGTTGCGTGGTGTATTATCATATATTTACTAATGAACATTATGGGCAAAATCATTTTTTTAGTTTTACAGAATAAAAAATGTGCATAGTTTTTTTAAAAAAAAATTGTTTTTAGTTAACCCTATAGTTTGTGTTAATCATGATTAAATGCTTATCTGCAAGTTGAGGAATCTCTTTAATTGTATAAATAAATTATATAGCTCTAATGAGATAATTTTGTTATAGGATTTTATTGTTTAGACTACATCATTAAAATAACAAGATACAGAATAAAAAACTACGATTATACATATCCATGATGTCAATGTATCATGTGATTAAAAATTCCAATATATCTTATGATTAAGATTTCAAATATAAATGTTATATAGTTAATATTCTGTTTTATAGTTTGACAATTCAATAAAACTATTCTATTTTTTTTTTTAATGCGAATAGAATTACATCTTGAAATGAATTTATTTTCCACAAGATTATAGTTGATGATAATATAAAAGTGCTCGAAACCAAATATGTTTAGATTTGTTTTTCTTTCTAAAATATTACTTAAAAAATATAACCGTTAAAATTCGTCTTATATTTTTTGGTTTCAATACAGTAGCATAAATATATTTCAATTCGATTGACTATATCCTGAACATCTCAGGTATCGATAATATTTAATTTTGATTATTTTTAAAATCAATTCCTCCAGTTTTGTAAAAATTATAAATCTATTTTCCATTCCATTCGGTTTTGATTTAAAAAAACTCCATATTTTAATATCTTCGTAATGGGCCAAAGGCCGAAGACAGCAAGGCCCATTTCTGTTTTCTTACGGCGTCGTATTACCTCTTTGGCTCCTTCCTTACAAGATGGGGGCAATATGGTACAATCGTCACGACCAGATCATTTCAAAAGGGAATCTGAAAGAGCGTCCCTTGAGAAAATTCAAATCTCACACCCATCCCGCTCCCTACAAAGAAGATTCCGTCTCCCCGAAGAGCGAGAGAGAGAACGAACTTGGATCTTGCATAGAAAGTGTAAGAGATCAGATCGGTAATTTCGCTCCGCTGGATTCGCCTTCGATCCGCCGCTCCAAGATGTCTGGTCGCCACGACAAAGAGAAAGGTGTCAATGTTCAAGTCCTCCTCCGTTGCAGGTACATTCGACATGTGCATTCGGTCATGTACGGATGTACAAATTCAATTAGGTTTAGTATGCTGACATGTTGGGTCTGATTCAATTTCTGAATTTTCGGACTTTTTCTGGTGTTGTTTGAAGGCCATTTAGTGAGGAGGAGTTGAGGAACAATGCTCCTCAGGTTGTGACATGTAACGAATTTCAAAGAGAGGTTGCTGTATCGCAGAATATCGCTGGGAAACATATCGATAGGGTTTTCGTTTTTGATAAGGTAAAATTGTTTGTTTACTCAACTTGGTTTTTCTCGTTCTATCTGATTCTTTGCAACTGTAATGTTGCTTCCAATTTCTTCATCTAGTTTGGAAGTACAGATCACGAGAAGTATTGGCTTAGCTTTTTTTTGGAGTTTAGATTAATTTCGTCTATTTTTTCTAATTAGTCTCTGTAAATTCCCATGGGAAGAGGCATAATTCTAACAATTTGGCTAATATTAGTTATATAATTCGTTTTCATGTTTTGGTGAATGAACTATTTTATTAAGCCAAACAATTTTGTTATCATGTAGGCTAATTGGTACTAAATTTACGCGACTTTCTTCTTACCAGATGTTTGACATGAAACTATATATCCTTTGGACTCATAATCTAGTCACTTGATCTGTTGCCTGCAGTGATGTGTTTCAGAGCGCATAAATGTAATATGGCATCTGTTGCAGCAGAGGTTTAGAGATTTGTATGGTTTAGGGAAATATATGGTCATTAATTTCTTCTGCCCGCTTGCATGTATTGCTGTATTGATCTCGTGATATATGGACTTCTAACGGATCTTCTTCAGAATCTAGCTGCTGAATATGTCTACATGTTGAACTCAGGTGTTTGGGCCATCTGCACAGCAGAAGGATTTGTATGAACAAGCAGTAGTTCCAATTGTTAATGAAGTACTTGAAGGTTTTAACTGTACAATTTTTGCATATGGTCAGACTGGTACAGGAAAAACATATACAATGGAAGGCGAGTGTAGAAGGGCAAAGGTATTTTCTTGTTTTTCCTTCCACATGTCCCGATTTTGTTCTTTAGTGCAAGCTTATTCATTGATATTCTTAAACGGAACAGAGTGGACCTAATGGAGATCTGCCGGCGGGAGCAGGTGTAATCCCTAGAGCTGTGAAACAAATTTTTGACACGCTTGAGTGTCAACAAGCTGAATACAGTGTTAAGGTCACTTTTCTGGAGTTGTACAATGAAGAAATTACCGATTTGCTTGCTCCTGAAGAAATCTCTAAAGTTTCTCTAGAAGACAAGCAAAAGAAGCAATTACCTCTTATGGAGGATGGGAAAGGTGGAGTTCTTGTTAGAGGATTGGAAGAAGAAATTGTGACCAGTGCTAGTGAAATTTTCACTTTGCTTGAAAGAGGTTCTGCAAAGAGACGGACTGCAGAAACTTTGTTGAATAAACAATCAAGGTATTGTTTTTTCATGTTTTCTTTCTCTGGCTATGATGTCTAAGGTTTTCTTTTGATGATGCATTTCTTTGGCACGCAGTCGATCGCATTCTCTTTTTTCCATCACAATACATATCAAAGAAGCTACTCCGGAAGGAGAAGAACTAATAAAGTGTGGGAAGCTGAATTTGGTTGACTTAGCAGGGTCTGAAAATATATCACGTTCTGGTGCTAGAGATGTACGTATTCTCTTTCTGTTCGTTCAGCTATGAGATTCCTTTTTTACATTTTTGTGTTGGGGATTTCTTGTCAAGCTCTAAACCAGGCTTACTCTAGTGGAAATTCCCTGTTGTAGGGCCGTGCACGAGAAGCTGGTGAAATAAATAAAAGTCTCCTTACTTTAGGACGAGTTATCAATGCTTTAGTTGAGCATCTTGGACACATTCCTTACAGGTTGGATCTCTTTTTCTCAAATTATCAATCTTATGCATGCATTTCAAGTGTTGCTTAATCCTAGTGTATTTCTTGCACTGAAATTTAGGGATAGTAAGCTTACCCGTTTACTACGTGATTCACTTGGTGGGAGGACAAAGACATGCATCATAGCAACAGTTTCACCTGCTGTTCATTGTCTGGAGGAAACTTTGAGCACCCTAGATTACGCACATAGGGCAAAGCACATTAAGAACAAGCCTGAGGTGCTGCTTTTACCTCTATGGGTTTTAGATTTATCACTTGACTTCAGATCTTGGATTCAGTCTCTTCATCTTGTTCCCTATGGCAGGTTAACCAGAAAATGATGAAATCTACTCTAATAAAGGACCTTTATGGTGAGATAGAACGGCTTAAGGCAGGTAAAATGTTATCTAATTCTTTTGGTGGATAAGAATTCGAGGGTGAATGTTATATCACTCCCATTGATTCAGCTTAATAAATATACCATCCTATTTCTTGCTTGTCTTTATAGAGGTTTATGCTGCACGTGAGAAAAATGGTGTTTATATCCCAAAGGATAGGTACTATGAGGAGGAAAGTGAAAGAAAGGTAGTGAAATTGCCCATTCCACTACTCTAACTTGAATGCCTGTCTCCAGCTTTTTATGGATCAATGAATTTTATTGGCCCCAGTAGATAAATTGTTTCTGTCCTAGTTCTTCTGCTTATGGATTTCTATTGTTAGGCCATGGCTGAGAAGATTGAGCAAATGGGTGTCCAGATCGAGAATTATCAAAAAGTCAGTTTTCTGCTCCTTAAGAGATTCAAAGCTCCTTTTTTTTCCTTGTGTTATAGAATGCTAGAAGTGGCATGTGAATTGATTTGTTTATATGTTATTGTAACTGTAGCAACTTGAGGAGTTACAAGACAAGTATGTTGCTCAAGTTCGACAATGCTCTGATCTGACATGCAAACTTGATTGCACTGAGGTATTCTTTATTTACTTTCCACTGTAGTGCTTTATAAATTTTGTACTGACCTCTGATGTTGCTATTGTGTTAATCAGAAAAACTTAACCCAAAAATGCAAACTCCTTGCCACCACTGAGGAGGATTTGAAGAAGTGCAAATATGCCATGAAGGAGAAAGACTTTGTTATATCGGAGCAGAAAAAATCAGGTATTGTTTTACTAATTTTCTGAACTAAACTATTTTACATAGTGGTGTTGTTAACATGTTTCCTGATGTTTGTCAGAAAATGCATTGGTTCAGCAAGCTTGCGTTTTGCAATCCAACTTTGAAAAAGCTGTCAAGGATAATGCTTCGCTATACCAAAAAATTGGTATTCATTTTTCGTTATTTTATCCTCATAATACCATGACAACTGGTGATTTGAGAACCTGATTTGTAGGAAGAGAGGACAAACTCAGCACTGACAACAGAAAAGTGGTCAACAATTACCAAGTGGAACTATCTGAACAGATTGGAAACCTATGTAAAATGGTTTCTTCATGCCTTTCGCGACAAAATGTACATCTTCAGGGTGTTGACAAACTGTGCCATTCTCTTTTAGAGACACAAAACAAGGTATCGAATGGTTTTCTGCCTTTCAATCTTCAGAAGTGCATTAATAATTTTCTTGTCTAAACAAATTTCTTTCAGGCTAGCATAAAAATTTTGAACTTTGACATGCTTTAGTTAATCTTTAACTGGTAAATTTTCTTTTCAAAATTTGTTTGTGCAGGCTGCTTTAGAAATGAAGAAGAAGGTGTCAGCTTCAAGGGCTTTATATAGTTCTCACATGGAGGCAGTACAGAATGTAGTTCGCTTGCATAAGGCAAGCTCCAATGCTTGCCTCGAGGAAGTTTCAGCTTTGACTACTTTAAGTGCTCGTACTATAGAAGAAGTAAGTGGAGTTAATTATTTTTGTTTCTTATCGTGTTGTTTTTGTATCAATATGATCGTTTTTAGTGCATTTATACAATACCATCATCTCTCTTGGTTAATGGCACAAGTTCTTATGCATCTGAATTCAGTTTTTTGCATCAGAGGATGAGGTGGCATCAACATTGTTTGACGAACTGCAGGGTGCACTTTCGTCTCACCAAGTTGAAACGGCTCTTTTTGTGAGAGAACTGAGACAGGTCAGTGCTTCAACTATTCACTAACCGATGCTTATTTTGATAGTAATTTTAACAGTATCGATATGTCATTGTTTTCATTTGTTCATGAATATGCAGAAGTTCCTGGCGACTATTGAAAAAACACATGAGATGGCTGAGTATGCAAATGGGTTTTTCCAGAAGCTTATGGAAGAGTCTAAGATTGCTGAGGATCATTCTTCACACGCGAACGAAACCCAAATAAAAAATATTGTCGATTTCCAGAAGGCTTACCAGGTTTATCATTCGCGTACATATTTCCTTTTTCTGGACCAATCCTTTGTACATCTGTAAACGACATATAACGTGCAGGCTCAGTCAAAATCTGATGGAGAGAAGCTAATAGCTGAGTTGACTAAACTAGTCTCCAACCACATTCAACGTCAACATGAACTGGTTTGTGGATGGATCCCCTCATTTGTTTCCTCTTCTGTTATGTGATGCACATTAAATTGTATCATTTTGCTTGGCAGGTTGATTTAAAACTCCTTGGCCTCAGAGAGGCCGTCTCTTCCAACAAAACTTTCTTGGATGGACACGTCTCCGCTTTAAACAATTTGGCTACCGATGCAAAAAGAAAATGGGAGACATTTTCGATGCAAGCTGAGAGTGACGCCAAAGAAGGCGCTGATTATTCTGCCGCAAAACATTGTCGTATGGAGTTACTCCTTCAGCAATCGTAAGACACTATATTCCCACAGCTTCTTGTGTGTTATAATCTTTCTACCCTTCTGTCTGATCTCTCTCTTCTTGTCCTAATATTCTGTAGTATGAGTCACGCTGAATCAGCTTTGAAGCACTGCAATATAACTCACGAATCTGTGAAAATGATGGGCAGTAAACATGTTACAGAAGTTTCTTCACTTGTTAGGTGAGTGGTTACATTACATTTATGTTCTCATCATTTCCTTTAAACTGCACCTTATCTAGATCTGACTTGTTCTTTACCATTTGAAGAGCTGAGTTGTATGTGTCATAATTGCGAGCATCATTCCTTATACGGTTATTACATTGTGCTGCTACCCGGCATAAGCTTCATTTAAATAATTTGCTCTAGGACGGCTTGCGATAGTAATGAGCAGCATGACGCGGAAGTGGATTCTGCAAAGTTTGCAGCCGAGCAAGATGCAGCCAAGAACAACAATGAGATAATCCAACATATTGATCGTGAGTTTTCTTTTCAGCATGGCATTTTGGTTTTTGTCCATCATGATAATAAACACATGGGCTGATTTCCTTCTCTCTTGGTCTTTTGCTTCAGGCCTGTCAGAAAATCAACAAGTCTCGGTATCCCAAATTATGGGAACTGTCAGTGCTCATGAAGAATCCCTGGAAAGTTTCCGACACGACCACTCTTGCCAAACCTTGTCCATTAAGGACAATGCACAAGAAACTTTCAAATCAAGATACATGGTAAGTTTTTTTTTTTTTTTTTTGGTTCCTGTTGATTCATATATCCTACAATGTTTAGAACTCGTTTCGTCTACTTTTTAACCGCTTTTGTCCTTGAAACTTAGGACTATGATCCCACCGGAACAACACCGATAAGAACCGAGCCGGAAGTTCCAAGCCGAGGGACGATTGAATCATTACGAGCAATGCCAATGGAGGCATTACTTGAAGAGTTCCGCGAGAACAACTCGTACGATTCCTTTGAGGTAAAGGAACCAAAACAGCAACAGCTAACACGATCACCTCTCTCACAGATCAACTGGAAAGTAGGAACATGATAGAAATTAGGGTTTCCATCGGGATTCAGTGTAGGACAGAACAGAGCAGCTCTCTGTTCCTCTCTCTCGACTTGGAGAAAAGCAGAAAAACCAGTGTCTGTATCACTATTAATTTGTGTACACATTTTGTTTCGGGAATTCAGTTAGAAGATAAAAAAAGGGTTTGATGCTGTCTGTTTTGTTTCTGGTGTTGGGATTTCAGGACCAGAAGTGAACCCCAAAGAAGTGGGGAGCAAGTAGTTTGCCGTTAGATTCTGTCAGAAACACAACTTGTGTAACTTATTTTATGATTTAACATTAGTTTCACTTGGAATTTTCCATACCCATTTCTGATGACGAGAAATCTAAGCGTAAAGTAAAAAGCTTTACACGAAAAAAAAAATTCTCATTCATCATGTTGAGGAATCTGAAAAATAGGGTTCATGTTTCCAGTAACAATGCAACGGTGCGATTTTTCACTTGTTCATCAGTTGCTGCAGTTTCTAATAACTCCAACCCACAAACCCATTTCGAGGAACAAACCCGAAACCAATCCGGATCTAATGTCTCTGTCTCTCCGGACACTAGGGTTTACATCTCCGCGGTTCTCAATTGCAGAAACATCTTCGACGTTAAGAAAATTCATGCCCATGTGGTCGTTAATGGCGTTTTCCATGTTCTCGCGATCGCGAACAAGCTGCTTTACATGTACTCGCAGTTCAGAGCCGTAGCTGATGCAAAGGCATTGTTCGACGAGATGAGTGTAAAGGACTCTGTTTCTTGGAGTGTCATGGTTGGTGGGTTTTCGAAATCCGGCGATATCTTAAGTTGTTTGAGGATTTTCCGATTGATTATTAGGTCAGGTTTGAATCTTGATAGCTATACACTGCCTATGGTGATTAGGGTTTGCAGGGACAAGAAAGATGTCGTTGTCGGTAGATTGGTTCATGATGTTGCATTGAAGTTCGGGTTGGAATCAGATCGATATGTTTGTGCTGCGTTTGTGGATATGTATGCGAAATGTGGGATGATCGATGGCGCACGTAAACTGTTCGATGAAATGTCTCAAAGAGATCTCGTGACTTGGACTGTGATGATCCGAGCTTATGCGGATTCCGGGAGGGCCGATGAATCGTGGCTTTTGTTTGAACGGATGAGAAATGAAGGGATTGTTCCCGATAACGTCGCGATAGTGACAATCGTCAATGCCTGTGCGAAGCTCGGGGCTTTGAACAAGGCATTGATAATTCATGATTATATACGAGGGATGATTTTCAAGTCGGGCGTGATTTTGGGGACGGCATTGATCGATATGTATGCAAAATGTGGAGATCTCGATGCTGCAAGAGAGATTTTCGATTCGATGCGGGAGAAAAATGTTATTTCTTGGAGCGCGATGATAGCTGCTTACGGGTATCACGGGAAAGCTAGAAAGGCTCTTGAATTGTATCGGATGATGTCAAAAAACAGGATATCTCCCAATGGAATCACGTTTCTTTCGGTGCTATATGCTTGCAGCCATTCGGGTTTTGTCGAAGAGGGCCTCGAGATATTTAACTCGATGCATGATTATGGAATTACGGCAGATGTGAAGCACTATACTTGTATGGTTGATCTCTTGGGCCGAGCTGGTAGACTTGATGAAGCCAGTAGAATGATTGAAGCTATGACCGATGAAAAAGACGAAACCCTTTGGTGTTCTTTCCTCGGGGCTTGTAGAATTCATAAGAACGTTGAATTGGCCGAGAAAGCGGCCAAATCCTTGCTTGAATTACAACCACAGAACCCGGGTCACTACATTTTACTATCGAATATTTACGCAAATGCGAGAAAATGGGATGAGGTTGCGAAGATTAGGAATTTGATGAACCAGAGGGGATTGAAGAAAATCCCTGGTTATACTTGGATCGAAGCAGATAAAATTATACACAGGTTTAGTGTTGGAGATAGGACTCATCCTAGATCAAAGGAGATTTACGATAAACTCGGGAATTTAACCGAGAAGCTTGAGCTTGCTGGCTATATCCCGGATACGAATTTTGTATTGCACGATGTGGATGAGGAGGCTAAGGCCGGGATGTTATCTTTACACAGCGAAAAGCTTGCAATTTCGTTCGGTTTGTTAGCCACTCCCGAGGGTAGTCCCTTGAGAATCACAAAGAACCTTAGGGTTTGCGGTGATTGCCATACGTTCTGCAAATACGTATCGGAAATTACGGGGAGGGAGCTTATTGTAAGAGATGCAAACCGGTTTCATTGCTTCAAGGAAGGTTCTTGTTCGTGTGGAGACTATTGGTGAACCAATTCCATCTTCTTGGTCAGTTTTCTCTGCATTTTCTCACGATTCATTTCCTGGTTTACCATATCTTTATGCATATCGAAACATTCACTGTCATGTTTCTATACCATGTCGAATTTTTCGAAAGGGATTTTAAGCATGAAAGAGGAGATTTAGTTGGTGGGCGTGAAGTGAAATCGAGTCATATTGCCGCTTATGTTATTATTCCACTCCCCATTGCACAATATCACTGGAGAATCTCATGAGATTTCTGGAAATCATGACCCATGAAAAACTCTACTTTCTTTTTTTTTTCCCGTGCTGGTTTCCGAGCTTTACAACTCAGCATCTATTCACTTGAATTGAAGGGAGCATCTTGCAATGGCAACTTTTGGTTTCTCTGCGTGAAGCTTCTGGTTTTGGTCATGAAACATAGCAAGTGGAAACATCACCTCTGGCAACTAAACAGGCAAATGTTCCACATTTCCTCCACCTTTTGTCTGTTTTCGGTGGAGAGCGGTCGTTAACCATTGCCATTAGGTGCTAGTTTCCAGACCGACATTTCGTTCATTCTCTGTAGAATTCTGAAACGACTTTGTCTTAGGCCTGCAGGTCCATATACCAAAAGATGCAAAAGCCTTCTTCTGCATTTAGGAGTCGATACAAGGAAAAAGGGTTTTGTGGGTGTCTCATCGTGTTGGGTTTGTGAGGTAAAGCGCGATCTCGGGTTATGTCCCAAAGCCTCTCATACATACGCCATTTTAGGGAAATGCCCCTTTGGCCATTTTTGGCCTGATTTTCCATTACTGTGAAACCTTTGGTTGGCCTTTTGGTGCTCTTTTTGCCTTTTGCAGGAAGAGTTTTGGCTTTCATTTCTGGCATCAAGCAAATCAAATGCCCTCCATGACCAAAATGCAAGTCCTATCACATCGAATTATTGACGAACAAAGAACATAACCAATATTATAACTTTATTTTCTTAAATACTAAAGATTATGCACTTTTTCTTGTTTATAGAGAGAGAGAGAAAAGCACCTGTTCTATGTTGTTGTCTTTGAAAAAAAAATATATATTTCAAATTATGAAATTTGTCTGGTTTTTGATGTTTTCTTGTTAGTAGAACGAAAATAAAAACGAAAATATAGGGTTTCTCTGTCATAAAAGAAATCCTATACAATGTAAGGGAGAAAATATATGTTTTATTTGCAGAAAATTTATTCAACTTTATAAATTATTATATCATAATTTCTTCCTTAATATCCTAATCATGTATTATATTATATTTATATAAAATTTGAGACCAAATCTTATATTCTTATACTTTCTGACAAATTAAATTTAGCACTGAATTGGAACATGATAAAAGAAAGCTCTGCTCACACAACATAGCGTACGGTCTTAGGGTTTATCTCACACAAATTATATAAGCCTTTTTTTAATGTAATACAAAATAACAAATGAATTAACTAAACTAAATTCTAAATATGTTGCGGAATTGCCATTACCTTGAATTAAATTTCGTGAACGGAAAAAAAATAATTTCGGATATTAATTCCATCTTAATTTAGCTGTGTAAACTCCATTGTAAAACTATCTTCTCATACTTTATAACAACCAAAATTATTTCATTGATTTCACTATAAGAATAATTAGTGAAAATAAAAAAGGTTTCAATTAGTCAACGATTTTTCTTCCCTCGTTATTAAACAAATAAATAAAAAGCATCGAAGTATATATTTCTGTTTCACTATATATAGAAGCAAAGTAAATTAAATTAAATAATATATAATCAAAATTAAATAAATCTGATCTAAAAAGTTAATAAGCAGCATGCTTATTAGAAGCATCTATTTCTACTTCAGGATATATAAAAGAAAAATAAATTAAATCAAGTAATATATTACCAAAAATAAATAAATCTGATTTAAAATTTTATTAAGTACTGTATAATTTTTTATTTTTACATTAGTAAAATATTAAATAATCTTAAAAAATTGAATAAAATGAAAACTTTTGAAAAAATATATTTTTGGTAGTTAAAATTAAATCAAAATAGAAGATAAATAAAAAATTGAAATAGATACAGTATTAACACAAATTTTTCATACCAAAAAAATTCTAATAAAAAGTAATAAACGAAACATCAATGTTTAATTGTTATTAATTCCAAATGTGTGAGAGATAAAATATTCATGATTTGATTTAAAAATAGATAAAATATTAATTGAATTCGAACTAAATCAAAATCGAATATAAAAATAATCTTAAAATTCAAATAAAAATATTTTTTACAGAACAGAAATATTTTTTAAAAAGTTAAATTCAAATAAACTTGAAAAGACAATTAATATAAAATAAAGAAATAAATATATTCCTTCCATAAACATTTATATTAAAAATTGATTAAATCAAACGCAAACTATTGACATTGGTCACTATTAACGTGAAATGTGGTAAAAAAAAAAGTAAAATCCTTGAAGCACAATTTTATCATAAAACCATTGATAAATATTTTCCATAATTTTTTTTCCTCATGAAAATTACTAAATTTTATCCACCAATAAATCAATTATAATATGTCTGATAGAAGAATCAAATACCAACTTGCAATAAAAAAATACGTTATATATTTTTGGAGTTGTAATGTCAAAAGGTAAAAATATTTAACCACGTTTATAAATTAATTATCTTGGCAGTATTAATACTAGTGTCTAACTCCATCAAAATTCTAAGCAGAAGTTGTTTATTGGCCCGCAAATACTTATTTAAAATTATTACAATGTGATATATGGATGTGAGAATATAATTTTAGGTGTTTTAATTTAAAGTAACTTATTTATTTCTCATGGTTTCACAAAATTTATGTTAATAGTCATTTCTTTGTAAACATAAAGGCAGCTTTTACGAATAATGGAACAAAATAATAAGAAACGTGAAAGAGTTGTGTCTAAATTTTAGTAAAAAAGAAATTCGGAAGAAAAAAGTGTGCCTAAGCACGAAGCACTAAACTTATTTGTTCTCATTCATTGATCATCGAACCGTTTTTCCAAGTGATTATTATCATTTAATTGTATTATTCAAATAATTAATTTTAAAAATAAGATTTCATTTAAATTAATGTGTTTTTTTAATTGGCCTATATTATGAATTGATATCTTTAAACTTTACATATTCAAATTAAATCTTCTGTTCGCTTGGGATCAACTTAGGAAGTATGGTAAAGAATTGAACTTAAAGATTGTTTCATTTCTATAATATAATTCGAACTTCTGACCTCTAATTAAGAGATAAAGATATCTAATTATCTAGGTATATGTTCTTTTGATATCTATATTTTGTCAAAATATCCAATATCCTAAACTGTATGGTCAAGCTAAACCAATGTATGCCGACGAAGAACTTCTACGTTCGAATTCGATACAGATAAGTGTATAATATATATATATATATATA